AAGTTGAAGAGGCAAAATCTCCACGTGAAACCAACTCATGAAATTTCTTGCTCTGTTTCCACTATCTTCCTCGGCTCTCTGTAACTTAATTTCTGCTCGTGACTCCCAAAATATTCTACTATTTCTCGGTTAATCCTCACTTAAGCGTTTAATTTTGATCTTGGTTTTCAAGAAAAAGATGAGCCAAGATGTTATAGAAGAAGGGGAGTTATCAAATTCCCTGCTCCTCAAACGACAACCCAGAGAAGATGAACAGACTACAAAAACTCCTGCTTCATCTTCTTCATCACCCACATCTGTGCTTCTCCTCAGCACCCTTGTTGCTGTCTGTGGCTCATACGTTTTCGGATCTGCTGTAAACTACTTTTTCATCTTTTACTTCTGAAAAAATAGTAATGCTCTCTGTTTAAACCTTGTTTAACCCTAAAATTTAGATGCTAACTTTATGATATATCTAACTTCGTCTTTTCCTGTATATTCATATATTCAGCTAATAGACTCTTTATCCCTTAAACAGTTAGGGATTTATTGTAGAAAAAGGTTAAGTAATTACAAAGATTTTGAGAAAATCTCGGAGTGAGTAGAAAAACTTGTAAGGAATTTAGTTGATATGAACTGTGCACATCACATCAGATTGTAAGTAATTTTCTGTGTTTTAACTGTTTTGAAGGTGGGATATTCATCACCCGTCCAGTCTGGAATCATGAGCGAATTGAGTCTTTCTGTTGCAGAAGTATACATAATACTATTTCCTTTTAGTTCTCTGTTTTAATTTTCATTTTTGTCCTGTTCTAGACAGGATTTTTCACATAATTTGCTTTCTTTTTTCAACTTGTTGATTCTGTTGCAGTACTCACTTTTCGGTTCGATATTAACCATAGGAGCAATGGTAGGTGCAATAATGAGTGGCAGAATAGCAGATCATATTGGTCGAAAAGCTGTGAGTTTCTGGTTGATTTATGTTAACTTTCTTTAGCAAGTTACAAGTCTTTGATTATCATTAACTAAGATTTCTGTTTTATAAAACAGACAATGGGTCTCTCAGATATATTCTGCCTTATAGGCTGGATTGCAATAGCATTCTCAAAGGTGAAACTCATTGATGCCTACTTTTCGAATTCGGGATCCTTCTCTTTTTCGGAAAAGATTTGATGATATGTTAAAAGATCTGCTTGTTGCTGGAAGGTTTCTTGGTTGCTTGATGTTGGAAGACTGTTAGTAGGATATGGGATGGGTCTACTTTCTTATGTGGTAATTGTTCATTTCATATTTGATTAGTCACAAATTCATTTAAATCATCAAATAATTGATTGTAGCGCTAATACCATATGAAGTAATTAACTGTTATATGAAATGTTACAGGTGCCTGTATATATAGCTGAGATTACACCCAAGGATCTTCGAGGAGGATTCACGACAGTTCATCAAGTAAAATCAGAACATCATGATCGAGCATATAAGACTCGTGGACCTATACTTACAAATTAAACTTCTCTTTTGCAGTTGATGATTTGTTGTGGTGTCTCATTAACATATCTCATGGGAGCTTTTCTGAATTGGCGGATTTTGGCATTAATTGGTAATTTGGGGGGGGCGATCTTGCTGTTTCAATGTGTTTTGACAAGGTTGGCTCTAACTCTGTGTGTTAGGAATTCTTCCATGTCTTGTACAGCTGCTAGGATTGTTCCTCATCTCAGAGTCTCCTAGATATCTGGTGAGGGATTTTCTCATGAAAGAAAAATATGTTAGATGCACGATGGTATATCTGAGATGTTGCAAATGGTTAATTTGTAGGCGAAGATCGGAAAAGGGAAAGACTGTGAAAGTGCCTTACTTCGCCTTAGAGGAGAAAATTCTGATATTTCTGATGAAGCTACTGAGATTAGAGTAAATTCAAATTCTGCTTCTTACATAATTAATTTACTTTTGTATTGTTTATACCAAAAAAACTGAGTATCGAACTTTTAAATTTCTAGAAGTTTAAACTAATAGAAGAAAACTCAGTGTATTCTTACTTCATCGGGGAGAAATTAACTTCAACGAATTATTTTGTCTTGTAGGATTATACGGAAATGCTTAAAAGGACATCTGAAGCTGGAATTTTTGAATTGTTCCGGTGGAACTATACTCATTTGCTAGTGGTTAGCTTCTTAAGACCTTTTATGGCCTTATTTTCCATGTTTTAAAACTCTTTAATTATGATTAAAGATTCAAAATCTTGTAAGGTTGGAGTTGGTCTAATGGTACTTCAACAATTTGGAGGTGTTAATGCCATTGCATTTTACGCTAGTGCCATCTTTATCTCGGCCGGTAAATGAGAGCCTTGCCTTCTCTCCTTTACCCTTGTCTCCTAAGAAATATGGAAGGAAAACCGATAAATTGCTTGGCTTATGGCAGGATTTTCTGGAAGTATTGGCATGATTGCAATGGTTATTGTTCAGGTTTGTCACTTCCTAACTTCAAATTTCTTTTGAGGTTCTACAAGATGATTTCTCGTGACATTTTTGATCGTCTTCCAAAGATTCCTATGACTGCATTGGGAGCACTTTTGATGGATAAATCCGGGAGACGACCTCTTCTCCTGGTATCTAAAAGAATCAAGCTTCTCAGTCTGTTTTAACTTAAGTGATCTAAGTTGAATTGGAAGTAAAAGAGTTGTCTAATTAAAATCACGTCCGCAGATTTCTGCAGCCGGAACATGCTTCGGATGCCTTCTCGTGGCTCTCTCGTTCCTCTTGCAGGTTCTAGCTAGTACAGAATCTGCTCATCTGTTGAATCATGATCTTATGTTCTTGACGATTGCTTTCTATCACGTACAGGATTTAAGACACTGGAAGGAGGTGACTCCCTTCTCGGCACTTGCTGGTGTCCTGGTAACTATGCCATTTGAAAGTGTATATATATAACATTATCGATCATTACTTAACTAGCTAGATAGTTGGTATTTTTCTCTTTTTATAAGGTATCGTAAGTTTGAATAGTTCTATATTTTGTTGTCTCTTTTAGTTCACATATCCCCTGCATCTTGTTTATTTTCATCATTTGAAGTAGTTGGCTTCAATATAATATGCATATATATATCTATATATATATATATATATATTTCTGATGAGGTTATATGACCATTCAATTTGTAGATTTACACTGGATCTTTTTCACTAGGCATGGGAGGAATTCCTTGGGTTATAATGTCAGAGGTGGGTGGAAATTTGTTCAGCGTTTATTATTCCAAACCCACACACACATACATATATACATATATATATATATGAGAACTGGAGGAATGAAGGGCTGATTTTAATTTGTTTGAGTTTCAGATATTTCCAATCAACATGAAAGGATCAGCTGGAAGTCTGGTGACACTGGTTAGCTGGCTGGGTTCTTGGATCGTCTCCTATGCTTTTAACTTTCTCATGAAGTGGAACTCATCTGGTATATTACTACTTACATCCGAATTTTTGTATCACTTTCGTGCATGCCTAGCTTGTATATACATGTGTGTGTGTGTATATATTACTGATAGATAATATGTAGTGGGTATTTTGACAGGTACATTTTTTATATTTTCGAGCATATGTGGATTAACTGTTGCGTTTGTTTGGAAGCTTGTACCAGAAACCAAGGGGAGAACACTTGAAGAAATACAAAGCATCCATGGCTAATCCTTCTATAGAATGCGTCTTATTTATTCTGTTAAGAAAATATTCTGAAATTATTTTATATAATAACTGGCATACACTTCGTATAATTCCAGTAGCTGATAACCACGAGTTTTGTTCCTTTCGCCATGTGCACAAACCTTCAACTTACACGTCTCCATTTTTCCAACAAGATAAGATCTGGATGGTCATCTTTCAAACTTGGCCATACATATATACATACACTATACAAATATATACACACACACACACGCACACGCACACGCACATATACAGACACAGGAATATCAATCTGTTCACCATTGATGTGGTGGTTGCACTAACAAGTTTGAGCACATCCCCGCGGAAGATTCGTCTTGATGATCATGATTGTTCTGCAGCCTCCTCCACTATATATATATATATATATATATATATATATATGTATGTATGTATGTATATTAGTAGCAGTGGTATATATTCCAGAGAAATTTCAGTGATGAAAATCCCTCTCCTTATCTTTGTTCTTTTCTTTTTTTTATTATCTTTTTCTTTTCTACTTTCTGGTGATGGAAAATCAAATCGCTACACAATTTTTTTGGACCGTATAAAAAGAAAGTGTCAAAATCAATCTAAATCGAAATATATACTTACATCTAATTACGTAAGTACACAAGTTTTTTAAATAATTATTTATATACATACACCCACTATTTCTTTTCAAAAATAAAGTTAAAGTTATATACATATACATATATATATATATATATAGTAACCAATGGCGATTGGGTAATTGAATTTAAGATTTTCAGAGAAATCTAAGTGGTTATAATGACCCATCAATCGCACATCTGCATGCAATAACAACACGTTCTAATTTTGGAATGGTAAATGTAATAATCGACGTACCATATATCATATATATATATATATATATATATATATATTCCTTTCTTTCAATTACTACGTGCACCGACATGGTTCACACAAATTTCCTCTCATATATAATTCCATAATTACGTACATATAGATTAACGCTTCTTCTTCTTCAAAATAAAAGAGATAATGATACATAAGTTCAGACCCACACACACATATATATATATATATCTATATAGATAATGTTCCCCTTCACATATATATATATATATATACATGTATGTATTAATATAAAGTGGTGGTAATGGAGATGGAAGATATTTTTTGAGGGGGCACGGACCAAAAGTTGTGTTATAAATCTATGGTTGCAGCGGACAACAAACGTTGTCACGATTTTATCCGTGTGAATTATGAGAAACTGCTAGACTTTCTTCCTTACTAGCAAACTGAACGTATATACACACGCACGTGTGTACATATTATATACATACACACACGTGCGTTCATATTTATACATAAAGAAAATCCTGACTTGTCTACATATAGAGATCAGATCACAAATATCAATACACTCTTATCTTGCTAAGTTGGAATGAGATGTAAAGGAGCTTCAATTTTTTTTTCCTTTCCTTAAATTTTAAATATTCTCACATAATTATAATCCTATATATATATATATATATATAAATTATTGGGTATTTCCCTAAAAATATATATAAACGAGCTGGAGGACTATATATATATATATGTGTGTGTCTGATATATCTTAAATTTTATTTTTCTAAAATTAACGAGTATTAATTTTGTAGATAATTAAATTAAGGGAAGCAATTAATTAACGATAATCAGGATTAGGTGGAAATTAAATCAAATGTGAAGAAAAGTGTGAGGCGCCATTCTCACGTGGGACCCGCTATATCATTCCAGCTCACCTCCCGCGTTGGCACTCTCTTCACCATACCACCTCCCTATCTTTTTCCTGCGGGTATTATTAATACCCTCATCCTTCTTCTCTTTTCATTATCTCTCCAAGAAAATTTAATGAACTCAAATTAATTTTCTTTCGAATTTCCAATTTTTTTTTTCCAACTATATCAGTCTCTGTTCACTTTTCCCTTTTTAGTTTTTTCTGAAAACGTGATGATGAGTTTCTGCAAAAAGAGTGTTCATTCTTTTTTGGGTCTCACGGCCGCCACCGCGAAACCTGCCGATTATGATTATGGCGGTGAACCGCCATGCAAATGCGGGCTGGGTATAATCACTGCGCCTTCTTCTTCTGATGCTTACCGTGGTCCTAACATCATTGAATCGTCTCTCATCAAGATTCCCATGCCGGCGGAAAAACGACTAGAATCGACGGAACCGCCAACTGCGCCGTTTCCGGCGGTGGAGAGCTTGCTTTCGAGGAAGGACCTGGGTGATTTCGGGTTCATTGATGAGGTAGGGGGCGGGGTGGATGGACTGATGTCATGCACGGAGAGCTTAGGGTTCGAGAGTTACGACGAGAGGAGAGTTGACGAAGACTGCCGGATCGATATTATGGCGGCGGGGGCGGCGAGTTCTTCTTCTTCTTTGAGTTCGAGTAGGAGGAAGCAATGGAGGGAAGATAGGCAGAGGAGCAAAAGAGAGCCTAAGAAGTTTCCTCCTCCGTTGTCTTCCTTGAATGATAACGGACAGCCCAACTTCTTTCTCCGGCCGGTGAGGAAGGACGGCAGGCTGGAGTTGACTGAGGTCAGGATCCACAGGCCGGAGATCCTCCGTGCCTCCCGACAAGATGGACGGTTGAGATTGCACCTTATCACCGACGAAGAACAAGGCCAAGAAGATGTCGACGTCTCAGAAGAAGAAGAAATTTATGAGGAAGCTGAACAAGAATTAATGGGATTCGAAAGGCAGGAAGAAGAAGAAGAGGATGAAGATGAAGAAGAACTCGTCGAAGAAGAAGAAGAAGAAGAAGAATGGAGGTTAGGGTCGGCGGCGGTGAGTAGTGGGAGTGGAGATGGGATGAGAATCAGGTGCCATGATGTAGCGGTGGTGAATCATCATCACGATCATCATCATCATCATTATCAGCATGATGGTCACCACCATAACTTGCATGTGTGGAGCCAGCATTGCGTGACGACTAGGTGATGATGATATAGCGTATATACTTTATATATGGTTCACGTGGGGGATAGAAGAAACCAGACAGCTTACACGGAAGCTAGCTGTTTTCATGGCTGGGTCTGCTCTGCTCTGCAAGTCTGTGTGTGTTTTTGTGGGAAGTGTGTTGTATAGATAGTGTGTTGAAGTTGTGCAGAGAGTCAGAGTTGAGGTGTCAAGAAAAGTTGGAGGATGATAATGGTGGAATCTTTAGGAAATGGACAGCAAACAGCTGGGATGAAGAAAGAACAGTTGGTTGCTTTTTCCATTTTTAGAAGTCACAAGTGGATCAGAGTTTTCTTTTCCTTTTTTTTTTTGCTTTACTCTCTTCATTTTTTGATCTTAATTGTTTAAGTACTGTTTGTTGTCTCTCTGTTATATATTTGAAGTATCAAAATATTCAATCTATCCACAGTTAATTACTTCATGTTAATCACACACACACACACATATATATATATATAAATATGGGAGATTGAGTATATATGATCAAAATGAAATGGTAATTGAGAATGTACAGTCGATTGATTTATGCACATAGTCAAAGGTTTTGACCCAATTATTGATATGACTTGTGCAATACATGGATGACGTTATAGTTGAAATAAGCCTCACTTCATTTGACCAGTTTAGAAAAAGGTCCGGAGAGGGACTTTGAGTGAAACGGCAGCCAGACAGGTGTGACAAAAGTAAAAAAACAAACACCCTTCGACACCAGGAGTAGAACCTGAGACGGCGTAGTCCATTAAAATTTTATGTTATAAATAATTTTATATGTTGAGAAATAATAATATATATGTATGTATATATATAATTCAAGGTATGTAGAAATAGTCGGAATTTGAAGTCTATCTTATACAAACCCACACGCACACACGTACATATATATATACACACACACACACATTTGTATTCACTCACGCATGTCTAATAATTATCAAACTGAGAATGTGAACTATTGAATTATCAAATATTCCCTTAATTACCGGTTAATTACGTTACTTAATTACATAACTTAAACACTTATCAATTGCTAATCTTAAAAGATTTCCCGGTAGAATTAGTATTTTTGTATATTAATATGAAAACGTACATTACAATTAATATTATGTTATTTTTTAATTAATTAATTAATTAATTAGATGATACACATGTATTACTTATATTATAATAAAAATAATCTTTAAATTAAAACATAATTAAACTTGAAAAATACCATTTCTTATGAATACATGAACATACTAATCATTTGATTAAACAATTAATCAATTTGTCAAATTAAGAACTGGATATTGTCCTCCTTTTCATATATATAAAATGATGCTGAAACCTAAAAATGGCGAATACGCGCCAAGCTACAACTATAAAATCTAACAGAGTCAGCAGATCAAAAACCCTCCGCATCAGATTCAATACCCAAATTCAAAACAAACAAAATCCACATCCTCATTTCCTTCAGACCTCTGTTCCCTGTTTGAAATTCAAGATTTTTGTACAGAGACGAGAGCAAGGGAGGGAGGGAGGAAGAAAGGAAGAGAGTGACTCTGTAATAATTGCAGGAAATGGGGTGCGACGGCAGGATGATGCCGAGGCGAATCGTGCTGGTGCGGCACGGAGAGTCGGAGGGGAATCTAGACACGGCGGCGTACACGACGACACCCGACCACAAGATCCCATTGACGGACGCCGGCCTGACGCAGGCGCGGGACGCCGGAGCCCAGCTCCGCGCGCTGATGGCGGGGAACGTGTCGTCGGAGGATTGGCGCGCGTATTTTTACGTATCGCCGTACGAACGCACCCGATCTACGCTCCGGGAGATTGGACGGTCATTTTCCCGGCGCAGGATTATCGGAGTCCGCGAGGAATGCCGCGTACGCGAGCAGGATTTCGGGAACTTCCAAGTGGAGGAACGGATGCGGGTCATCAAGGAGACCCGAGAGAGATTCGGTCGGTTCTTTTACCGGTTTCCGGAAGGCGAATCCGCCGCCGACGTCTTCGACCGCGTCTCCAGTACGTTTCTGGTTCTTCATCTTCTTAATTTTTCAACTGATTTGTTTCTTGTTTGATCATTGATTTCCTGCTACTGCGTTTCTCTGAGTGGCGGGCTCCGCTTTCGGAACCCGCGCGTGAGGTTCACGTGCTCTGTTCGATTCCAGCCATCTAGGATTTTGTGGTCTCCATTTTTTAAACAAAGAAGAAGACTGCACTCCATCTGGTTTTTTTTTTTTTTTTCTTTTTCCTGCTCTGGTTTTTTTATTCAGAATTTTGTTTTTTCCTATTAAATGCCCGTGTGTTTGCTAATTGTTTACTCAGCTAATTTGAACTTGTTTATGATCTTGTTCTATGACGAAAATCCTGTTGTTTTCTTGTTTGTTTATTGCATACAAGTTAAGCTGGCTTGTTAATGTGGCTCTCAGATGATTTTGGATAAATTCTGCTTTTACTCTTTCTGTCTCTGTGAATCTTAATTCTCTCATTGGGGGTAATAGATTTTTGTGGGTTGAAGCTGATTCTTTCGGTAGAAATTTGCTATCATCCCTTTGTTTGATCACCATCCTGCTTATTTAGAATCTTGATTCCTGGAGTGTAGTAAGAAACTACTTTCCTGTATTCTATTGAAGATTAAAGCCATGTTTGACTCAAATCCGGAATTGTTATGGGATTCATTTGCCAAATACTAATTAGAAGGTTCTGAAAGTTTTCGATAAAAAAATTATCTTATATGAAATTTCAACATTGTTTGAAATTCTATTATTCTTAATGAAATTCAAATAAATTATTCCAATTCTATGCATGATGTTTTGAGATCTTCTTGTACCATTTCTGATAGAAGTTCACTAGTTAGAATTGGACGTATATTTGCAAATTGCAAATGAACTATGTAGAAGTTTTTGATTTGTTCGGAATGTAGTCTAAGGAAGAATAAGTTGAAAGAAGACCTTTTTTTTTTTTTTGCAGTTAAGCAGAATGTTGATGTAATTTGGCTATGTCCTTTTTTTCTTTTCCCGATTTTCTAGAATCTCTGTGGAGGGATATTGACATGAATACGCTTCCTAATGATCCTTCTCCAGACCTAAATCTTGTAATCGTATCACACGGGCTGACCTTACGAGTTTTTCTCATGAAATGGTTCAAGTGGACAGTTGATCAATTCCAACGCTTGAACAATCCTGGGAACTGCCAATATCGGATAATGGAGCTAGGAGATGGCGGAAACTACAGCTTAGCCATCCATCACAGCGATGAAGCAATGGAGGAATGGGGACTCTCCCCTGAAATGATTAATGACCAGAAATGGCGAATCCATGCCAAAAGGGGTGAGTGGAATGACCAATGTTCTTGGTATATGGACGAATTTTTCGACCACTTAACTGAACAAAACAACGACAGTAGTAATGATACTGAGGACGGGAGAGAAAGATTTGAAATGCAATTGATTCGTGATGAAACACGTATAGATTCTTCCGAGGTATTTTAATGGTACCACAATTCCTCTTACATAAGGTGATCTTACAAGAAAATTTATGAGACCTGGCTTGTGCGAGGGAGTTGTGGGGGTGTGGTGCCTTGCGAGATATCACAGCCTCTCCGACTATGTCGGAGGTATTCATCGTATTCAATTGGAAATGATATTATACTTTTTATCTAATCAAATCTTGATGATTCAAAAGGTTGATTGATTTCGATGCTTTTATCATGTGTTCTTAGTGAATGTAAAAGTAAGAAGTGTATATTGGATATTGTTGACAACATGTAGTTTTTAATAAACAAAATCCAAATTCACCCTAACAATTATATATAAAATATTTTCTTAACATAATTATGTTATAATTTTGTATTTTTTATTTCATTTATTGTAATTTTTTTTAATTTATTTAGTATTTATCTTTTGTCTATTATTGTTTAGAAATCCAAATTAATAAAAAGATTTAAAAAAAAAACTGAAAATTCTACACAAAATGATGAAAAAAAGAATTTTCTATCACAAAAAGCTACATGAAGTTAGTTTTGTTTTCATTTATGAATGCTCTACCTTTTTTAGAAAATTAAACTCTTGACATTTTACTAAAAGTATGTTTAATCTAATTAAGATTATTACTGTTTAAAAGTATCTTAATTTTAATTCTGTAAATTACGCTTAGTTAAATATTAAATGCTAAATACAATATTTTTAATAATTAATTAACATTTTTAAACCAATGAAAACATAATTAAGAAATACACATACAAAAAAATGGCAGCCTATTTTTTGTGCCGACAGAAATATAAACGTACGACACCACTCTCTAGAAACTGGCAGCTAAATCTTCCTCTAACGAAGGCTAATAAGCCTAAAAAGCCCTCCCAACACAATCATTTAAAGAAGGTTTCTTGATAAACTCAACCTCATAATCCTGTTTTCTTCTCGGTTAATCCCCCTTTCTCTCTCTATCTTGGAAAATCAATCATATCCCACATTTGATTTTCCACAATCTCTTCACATTTATAGGGATCTGGGTCTCCTTTGCTTTCTCGAAACAAACAGCCGTCACCTTTTTCTTTGGATTCTCTCTCGCAACCATTCAGAGTTACGGTCCAGCTCAGAGTCTTACTTTCTGACTCAGATCTTGAAATGGGTAACCGCTGATCGGAATCAACTCGACCAATTGGAGGTGACAGTCCCACTCCGAGTCAATTGCAGGGTGACCCAGACCGAGAAATGGGTGATTTGATTTGATTGTTACTACCTCTGTTGCACTCTGTTCTTGAGATGAAAACAGAGTAGGGCTTCTGGTTCTTGATTTTGATCTTGTTGAAGTTCGAGGGATTGCGTATGGGTCATCCGATGGTGCAGAGGGTTTGTAGTAGGAGAGGTTTGAGGATGGTTTTGGCTATGGCGGGGGTGTGTTTGGTTGGCTGCGTTGTTGTAGGTTCGCCATTGTTGTGGTTCTTGAGGAAGGGGAGTTGGAAAGATGAAGCTCCGTGTAGTTCCTGTTCTTGTGATTGTTCTTCAGATACTGCTCTGTTTTTTCCATTCGGTAAGGTTATGTTTCTGTAGCGTTAATTTGTATGCTTGATTCTCAGTTATTCTGTTCATGGAAACTTCCACAATCTTATTTAGAAAATCTCTGCAACTGTATTCATACACTTTGTGTTCTTGTTCTGTGAATATCTCCATGGCTGTCTTCTTTGTAATATATATTTTTTTAATAGTAATTTAATTAGATAAAGTGTGTAGAAATCATTATTATATATTATATAAAATTATTGTGAAATGTTAAAAAATTACTAAGCATTTATAAATTTTTTGAGGTGCTGTATAATTTTGCTTGTAAATAATTGATAGATTATAAATATAATTTATTAATATTCATTGAAGGTATTTCTTTTTCTATGCTATTCCTTCTTTCAACTTTCTTTTGTTAATGTCTATTATTATTGCAGGAGCTGGCATTGACAACACCTCCTTTAAAGGTCAGTATCTGTCTGTGTCTTTCTTCTGTTTTCCTCTTTGATGAAGCTATCACATTTCAGTATCTGTAAACTTTTCTTCCTACTAAATTTCAACTCCAAAAAATTACAGCTTAAAATTAACTTGTATAAATTAAAATTTATAAAGAGAAATGCTTTATTACAATGATACAGAAAGAGACTCAGCGGAATATTCCAAGTCACAATGCTACTAAGAATTCTGGTCTAAAAATTTATTATACAGTGGTACTCAGAATGTGAAATGTTACAAGTAGTATCAGAATCCTGATATAAAATTTAACAATTATATCTCTTTCCCATGTGGTATCAGAGCATCACATTTAATGTTATTAACTCCGCAGTTTCGCCCATATGCTGAGTTACTTTAGGGTTGATTGAGAGTAAGTTACTTTAGGGTTGTTGGATAAATTTGCAGACTGTGGAACAGATGATCCAGAGATGAAAGAAGAAATGAGAAAAGATATGGTTGCATTACTATCAGAAGAGATTAATTTACAGAGAATGGTTACAAATGAAACCTTACAGCACACCAGAGCGTTAACCATGGATGCCAAGTTGGTCTCCTCCCATTACCAGAAAGAAGCATCAAAGTGCATTGCTGGAATGGAGATTTGTGAGGAAGCAAGAGAAAGGGCAGAAGCAGAGCTTGCACAGGAACGTAAGCTTTCAGCAGTTTGGGAGAGAAGAGCTCGAGAACTTGGTTGGAAAAGTAACAGAACAGCTTATACATAAATATATATAAATAATGATATAATATATATAGATTTTGTTGTTTTATTCAGTTGATGCTAAGCTTTAGAATAAAGCTTCTCCTGTGAATACAAAATTTCAGAGTTTTCACTGCTTATTCTACCAAAGTTATCATATCTGCAAGCTCTTCACTGTCGAATTATGTTGCGTTTGAAATAATCTCGGTAAAATCTATATAGAACTTTTCTTTGAGTAGAAATTTATATATTATGATATATAAACACCAATGATAACAAAATGAAAAACATCCAAATGAAAAAAATTCCGGCACAGAGACTTTATTTTCCTTTCTGAGTATTGCTCTGTCTCAAGAATAATCAACTCTTGTGCCGGTCGTCCCGAGCAGTGGACGCAACTGAAAAGTCGGTTTCTTCAGTTCAGATATATACTATCCAGGACTGCGAAACCAGCTGCAACTCCACCTTCGTTTGATGAAGATACCTTTGTCCGCATCAAATATCCACATTCGGCATTCATGATCACTTTCTCCTTGTTTCTGCATAATTCCAATCTGAGTATGTTAGCTGCCGTCTTAAAATGTTAAAATCTGAAGCTTAATCCCTACTTATTGGTTTATTTAATTAAGCATAAATTTATAAATGAATTCCATAAACATATGGACTTCATTCTAAACAGTCTAAGTAAACACATGAAATCTCTCCTTCACAAATTACTTGGGCAGCCAGCATGAGAAATTAACAATCTTCAAACAAATCTAATTTCTTTAGCTTATGATTTTCTTCCCACAAATTCACGTAAAAGATTCAATTTATATCTACATAATTCATCGATATCATATTCATATATGTCAGAAAAGGAGGCAAAGATCCTGATAAGGCATACCTTAAGTAAGCACCATATATCCCAAGTTCTGAAATGGCCTGATCCTTAAGGCAGACGCCATCCCGCATCAACAAAGTGGTCAATACGGTTGGGAAAATCCTCTGCATAAGGATGTAAGCCGCGTCTTCTTCAGAACCCTCCTTCTGCAATCGCAAAAGGGTTTCCTTTACATCATTACCGTAGATATTGTTACCTGGAGAGGACAAGATCTAAGTTAATGGTGGTTCAAAACATAAATCACTGCTCTGAAAGTAGAAAGACAAGAACAATGGCAAAAAGAGAAACATGTAGACCTCCGCCTTCTCTTTGTGGCTTCATTACATATGAATCTGGTCTTTCAATTGCTCCTTGGACAATAGCGGTCTCATCTAAACTCCATAAACCGGCAAAGCATTTCCGTACTTTAGCAACCTCTTCTTTGTTATCAAGGAATCTGTTTGGAAGAATAAGAAGAAAATCTTTGGTGGCTTACCTCAACACAAGAAGGAAAAGATCTCTAATAAAACTCTAAGGCTGTGTTTGGAATAAATCCAGACTTTTACAAAACCTATTTGTAAATTCATGCTTAAACTAAATTAGAAAAGAACTCAATCAAAAGATAAAAGAATTGACTTCATCTAAAATTTTATGTGGAATTGGAAAAAATTTCATGTCAAATCAGAACAATGCATTCCAACTCTACATAAACACACAAATATGGAGTTGGCAATAATTTGGAGGCTCGGAAAATGTTACCACCAAGCGTGTGGAGATTATTACCGCTCAAGAACATTTGGTTTTGCCAGTTCCTGTTGGATCTTCTTGGTGCCAGTTAAATGATAAGCTATGGAGGGGCATTTGATGGCAGAGGACTGCTCCATAAGTAACCTAGCACTCCATTCCTACAAATTAGAAAAGAACGAGTACGAGAAAAAAGATGAGAGACATGCAAAACCAACTAATAAGTTATTGATTGCCACATTAAACTTAAGTCATAAACATATACTTCGTGTTTGAGAAAGAAGGCAGCCAAAATTCATTCACAAAGAAGAATCTAGAACTCGTAGATAACTAACAACAAAAAAAGAACATTTCAACTCCCCCGGAAAAAAGAAAAAAGAGAAAAGAAGATAGGACGTCAAAAGCTCAACCAAGATTAAAGCTAATTCAAGTAATTAGGTGATAAATAAACATTATATGATTAGTAAGTAACCAATGTAGCAACTTGTGATAAGCAGGAAGATCAAGGAAATTGCTTACTGATTCTGAAGGATAATCAGTTGGTGCATAACCAGCTCTGAAATAAATGACTGCAATTGCTTGGCCACCTCTACAATAGAAAAACTTTCATGATACCAATCATATGTGTATGTTCTGGTAACTCCACAGACTAATCTCAATTTGGGGGGAAGCAAAAAATTCATGAATTTAAACCCACTTACACAACAAGTGTTCCATCTGGCAGGATTGCCCCCTCTCTATCAATATCTGCCAAAGTCTTCCGGATACTTGAAATGTTATGTGTGTTATCAAGCTAAAGTTAAGAAAGATATCTTGAGCGAAGTACTGGTAACAAGCTTTAAAAGGAAAATTAAAGACTAAAAAAAGAAAAAAGGCAGGAACTGGAAACATTTAGTTTATCAAATTTCGGTTATTTTAGATTTTCATATTAGAGAATAATAGCCCGAAGGATCTCTATTATATCAAGGTGCTGTATCAGAAGAACTGTCAGTCTCAGACATGGTAGCCATTCTGAAAATGCAGAAAAGGATATTTTTTCTTCAAAACACCACAAAGCCAATGTTGATCATACATGTTGCGTTCTTCAGGCTGAACCACAACCATGACCACAGCCCTGAAAAAATATTTTAGTCACTGATCACTCAATATCTTAGCAACAAGAGAAAATTACATACTGCAGCAAATTTAACCTGGGGTTATTATATTCGGCCCAAGCCTTAGCCAATGCCTCAGCAAATTGACTAACTGCATTATTGCTGGGAATTCTCTTGGAGTCTAATCCAAGGTGACCTCCATAACAATTAATCAGGCTCCTGAAAAATAGCAAACCAAGGTTCATAAAGTGCTCCTTTTTTTTTTTGAAGTCTGGTGCATTTCCAGAGAACATTGATTGTTTTTAGACAAAAATCACGGTGAAGTGATCCATAAGGTATCAAACATGTGTCTAGCACATTGTAGTCTTTGAAGCACAGTATAAAGAACAAAAGAGCTTAAATAATTTGTAAGTGATGCGTGACCTGTGTAGCTCAGTGACAAGACAACTAAGGCCAGGGAAAGATGATGAAATTGTATTCATCTCTATTTGGAGAAGCAATTTGGTTTGTTTATCGAGCATATAATCTGAGCGATGTAAACCCAAACGTATTTCCTGTGCCAACAACGAAAAGATCAATGCTGGTCTCATTACTGAGAAGTAAAAACAAGGCACTAGCTTTTCCTATTAAACATTTTTTTTGCAATGACTAAATGAAGTTATAAAGTGAGGGACACATGATCGATTGAAAAGTAAGTAAACATGAAAAAGGGCTAATTTACAAGCCACGAAGATCCTCCTTGTCATGGTATGAGATGATATACCCTACTTGTATGTACTTACCTCTTTCTTGTTAATTGCTAGCATCTTGGAATGAATATCTAAAAGTCTTGAGGTAAAAGCATCGACCTTTTTCGTTCTGAGATTGTAAAGAAAAGAAAAAGAACAAAATCAATCCAAAAGGACTTCCAATCTACTGAATAAGTACGACACTGAACACAACCCAATGCCAGGAAGCTAGTAATACAAATCAACACCCGTGAGCTTCGTCGAATCAGTGAAAAGCAACAGAGAGCCAGTGAAAGTATACTGCTATGCCTTTTAGTTTCTTCCAACAC